CCTTATGGGTATGTTGCTCCCAGAATCTATGCATGCACACCGACATCATTCCGGCCCTGGCCCCAAATACCGGTGTCGCGGCACCAATCACGTTGACTTCAACAGACAATCAGAAGAGAGTTTGGGGCATCTCCCAGAAGAAGCGCTTCAGGAAGCAACTTGTACTTGTACCATATCCCTTCGGACCAAATATTAGACACCTCTCTGAACTGCGTCCGCCACTCCCGAAAAGGAGCAGTCAAAAAGCAGATCATATTTGGTTACACTCCTGCAAAAGCCCTGAACCAGCTAAACCCCAAAGCTTGAAGCCCTCAGCCTAAGCCTGCAGCGCGCCTGTTGTGGATCCCCGTAGCAGGGGTGTCGACCCTGTGGGGGCGGTGCTGCGCGACCAGCTGCAATAGCCTTCGAAGCTTCGGGATCCACAGGCTCTCAAGGCTCGTAACAAGTATTATTAGAACCCTGGGAAGATTCGCACAGTATTGTTACAATGGGCTGTTAAGGCTTTATTCTTGTTCATGCTCCTATCATCGACTGCGATCCTCATGGTTCTCATTACATCTACTGTATATACCCGCATTTTTGGTGATTTCTATTTCTTGGTTCCGGGTGCTTAAGGCTTCGGTCCTATAGGGCAGATATACGGCCAGGGTTTGCAGCAGACCAGAAATATCGAACTGGCTGCCAGCTCATAGGACCTCCCATTCGGGGCGGGTGTTTGTGGTCTAGAGAGTCTAGAGTAGTGCGGGCTTCAGGGCTCAGGCAGTACCCTCCTGAGCTGCTGCGGTCGCAGAGCCAGATTTTTGTTCCCATCGGCTTGTGGAAAAGAAACCACACTCGGCATATACGTGATTCCGTCTTCTGCGCCCGCAAGCCGGCCAGATGCGGCCACTGCACCGCACGGCAACCTCGCTTGCCTAATCGAAAAGACGCAACATCTACAGTCTACAGGCACATTATGTCAAGACCTCACATCTACACACACACACACACACACTCTCTCTCTCTCTCACACACACAGATCATGCGGAAACCCTAGTAGACTTCACAGGTCTGGCCCTTGATTGAGCCTGAACCAGAAGCCCCTAAGCCCCAAGCCTTGGATTCCCAAGCGTTCAATGCTTAAATGCTCGGACCCTGCGTTTGCCTGCTCCTCGGCATAGCAGGAACGTGCAGCTGGCGTCGCCAGTGGAGCTGGCGCAGCCTTCAAAGTCGTGTTCTGCAGAGTTCAGATCTTCGTTGATGGGTTCAGGCCAGGCTGGGGTTGGGAGGGCGCCCGAGACGGGCCTCGGAAGACGATGTCAGGAGATTTCTCGGTCCCTTCGTACTCATTACGACTTAGAGCTTCAGGCCAAAGGCTTGCTGACACTTCCTTCTGCCCTAGATTTCATCACCGCAAACCGACCTTGCAGCATGCGAGGGTTGACGAACCATTGACTCGAAGAACAGATGCAACCACAGGCCCAAAAAAATCTACACGCACCATCTGCACTCCAAGCTCTAAGCCACTGCCACTTCTTCCTGAGCCGCATACTCGGCTCAGTTCCGTGATCCTGTTCGAATGTTTCTTGGACAGTTCCCAGAAGGCTCTGCGCCTCACATGGGAGTTGCCGCGCTGGTGACGGAGCTCGCCCGGCAGGAGGCAAGGCCTAGTGCGCGGGAGCTTTTCTGCTGAGGGGTTCTAAGATTTCTGAGACGGCCAAACAAGAAGAAGTTGTAGTGGCAGCAGCAGCAGGAGTAGCAGTAGCAGTAGCAGTAGCCGTAGAGCAGCGGCAGGGGCAGCGGCAGCAGCAGTAGCAGTAGCAGTCGCAGCGGCAGCGGCAGCAGCAGCAACAGTAGTAACAGTAGCAGGGGCAGTAGCAGGAGCATTAGCACGAGCAGCAGCAGCAGCAGCAGTGGCAGGAGCAGCAGTGGTAGCAGCAGCAACAGCAGCAGCAGGCGCGCAGCATTGTGGTGGCGATCGTGATAGTGCGAAATCCCGAGCCGTAGCAGTACCGTCATGACTTGTGACTAGCACATCACCGCCTCTGCACGCATCCCTCGCCCACCAGGTGATGGCGCCCGCTGGGGTGGAGGCGCCTGGAAGAGGACGCGCCGTCTTCAAACGAATTGCTGAACTTTCGGCTCTGTGGAGACTTTGGCAGCACTGGACGATCACACTAATCCGGAGGCTTGGAGGCGGTGGATGAGGCGGTGGTGGGCTCTGAAGGCTTGATTAGGATCCTGGTCGCGAATTCAAGGGCACCTTCGAAGAATTGGAGAACCTTGTGGAAGCCTGATATGCTGTTCGACATAGATGTGATGCAGACGTGGAGACTTGTTCGAAGCTTGACAAGATCATGCACTGGCATATGCCTCAGCAAATCAACATTTCCGCACTGCCTGCATGTCAATGTTTTTTGCATAATATGTGTACATTATAAGTATATAACTATACATTAGATACACATACTATGCACACCCAGAATATCAGGGCTCAAGCCGCACCAAACTCAAGCGCCTCACCCCAAGAGAGGTTGATAGAACTCGCCCCACCGGGCGCTTGGGCCACACGGTAACCTGTAGATGAGCTTTGCTTCCGGGAGTTGTGGATCTAGGGTTGAGGGGTCTTCCGGCTGCACGGGATGAAGAAGGACTTTTTCGGGCTTCGCAGGTTGTGACCAGAACTCCAGACCAGCTCCTGGACATACCCCCCCCAATCCGACAGTCCTGAAGGAACAAACTCAGGGTCTCAAGGAAGCACACCCGAATCTCCGCACTGCCAAGCCAGACCTTGAGGCTTCTTTGGCCCCGTGAAGTTGGGATCGTTCCTTGCAGTGGCCGGTGTTGCCGCTTTTCAGGGCGATGGATTCGTGGCTTCGGAGTTTAACGGCTTCGAGCTTAGGCTCTTGGGGTTCAGGGCTCTCGAGTTTAGGGTGAGCCTGGACCTCCGATGTTCTTTCTGCACATGTTACATCTTTGTTCTACCGCGGACTTGCGGGAGTTTCCGTGTAAAGCTCTTGTGGCCTCCAAGACTCGCGGCTGGAATTCGGGCTAGAGTAGCAGCTAGAGAGCTGGACGAAGTCCATTGGGCAATCGGCTTCTGGGGTAAACCGAATACTTACAACGTCTATGCCTGTTCCACTATGCTATCGATTTTTCGGATCAAAGCACACGGATGAGGCTTACGCCCGGACAGTGTAGAATCGAATTTCGCACCGTGCTAAACGCGTATGAGGGATTGCATGCCGTAAGGAAGACAATCGGCGTTCTCATTGGTCCTGGCTGTGGCAGCCCTGTGCCATTGATCATGCGTGATAGGAATAGCATGAGCACTGATGAACACCATGATGATTCCGAATTAGATGCTGGGGCCTCTAGACTAGTAACTAAACCTTAAGCCCTAAACCCTAAACAAATCTAAAACACCTGCGCATTCGTCGGGCAAAACGGGAACCATGCCCAGGCGCTGCTGCTGGTGCACGACGATGTTTCGCTGGACATTGCTCGACCTCAGGCGGCGAGGCTAGAAACATAGAGAATATAAGGGCCTTAAGAATTAGAATAGGGTTTTGGGGCATATTACACTATAATCATAATACCCAAAGCAGTATAGGTAATTATTTAGGCCCCTATACTAGGTCTGGTCTCGGCAGGAGCAGCTATCAAGGCTCGCCCAACCAATATATGTGCACAGCCATTCCCTTCTTAACAAGCGACACTAGCTTTTGCAGGGGCTTGTAGTTTTCAACTTTCCCGCTCTGCACTTTGGCCCTCTTTCATGTCGCATGAAGAGCCGAAGCAAGTTGCTGCCGGTTCGGCTGCTCCTTCTGGAGAACCTGAAGTTAAGGAAGGAGCAGCTGAACCGGCAGCACTTGTTGAAAAAGAGAAATAGCGAAGAGGCAGGCGCCATCACGCACCAACCAAGCTACCACACGCTGCCTGCTGCACCGGTTTTCAGGAGAAGGACGTCGTGCCACATAGCATGCAGGCCTCTTGTAACATTTTAAGTCGCCCTGAAGCTGTGGAGCATTGACGCTGCGCAGCCCTGCAGCTCCGTGCCAGCTTTCCGTCCGTGTTGCCCGTGGCGTTCGCGATTTGTTGGGTGATGTGGCGCAGTCTGAATGGCCTTCGATCAGCTAGACGAGCTCCTCGGCTGGCACGAACAAGCAAACCTCCCGCGTAGGCCGCTTGGCTGCACTCCCGAAACCACTGCTGACCACTTACTTGCCAAGAAGCGGGAATCCACGTTGCATCAAGAAGGAATGTGTCATCCATCTGAAATGTGCTACCTGAGAAGAGCAAAGATTCAGAATGGGAACTGACAGGATGTTACTCGGCCTTACATCACCAAGACCCAACAACACTATCAATGAACTGAGATGAACTGCACTCTTCCCGGTGATAGTACTCTCGAATAGGAAAGCACAAAAGAAGCCCACACCCGAAGGGCCCTTCGAAGGCCCTGAAGCCGAAGCACTGCACAGCTGCCCATCTCGATGCCGAACGTAGGCATCCTGCAGAGCTGGTCCCAAAAACACCCAGGGTTCCTTCCTCTTGGAAGGGGGGCCTTCGAGCACTTTGTTGAATTGGGGTCTGTGGCATCTGTCTAGAGTCCAGTAACAGCAGGCGTGTCGATTGTATCTAGTGAGCAGATCTGGAGCTAGAGTTGGGAGGGTTCGGCAAGCGGCACTCTGTACTGCTTGTCGGCCCCACCTGGTGGGGATTTGAGACTGAGGTCGGGCGACGGCATGTGACACGATCTGCTTCTGCGTGGTTTACCCCGTTTATCAAACCCATGATGCACCAGACTGGTCCAGCCCTTTTCGGTCTCTGCCGATCGAATTCATCATCCAGGGAGGCGTGTCCACGTTGGGAGCACCTTCCTTCCTAGTGTAAGAGATCCATGAGCCATCGCAGGTGCGGGTACCTGTTTGCCGCATCTGGCATCGATCTGTAGGCGTCGTTGCCATCGAGGGTTTGGCTCATGTCCTCAGCTAAGCTCGAGATCCCTGCTTGGAGCCCTACGTAAGTTCTACAGGCTCCTGTCTATGCCTTGGATGCCGAAGATGCGGGAGGCTGCCAAGCTTATTCTGGCAAGGCACGTTCAGCATAGCCAGGATGTAGCTGTGAAGAAGGTGGGATGGATAGTCGTGCGGATGGTGCGGGCTGCTGTCCTCGGAATCTGGACTGACTTGTCGTCAGTGTGGAATCAGCATACCAGGTTTTAAGCTTTCTGACCGAAGCTCCCTCTTCCTTGTGTTCTAGCTTCTAGCCTGCCAAGTATCGAAGCCAGTTCTCCGCACAACCCTGTGGTAGGCGTAGCATAAGAGGTTCCCAGCGGGAACATCGGAGAGTGCAGGAAGCTCCCTGTCGAACGCAGTGGCAAAGGCCGCGTCCTTCCAAACATCGGAGCCACCGATGAGAACAAAAAGCGAAGTACACAAAAAGCCCTTAACGGCCCCTTCATAGGACCCTTAACCACCTTGAGGCCCTAGAGGTCCAGTGCAGGGTCAGGATTTCCGCGACTTGGGAGAGCGAATTTCGGCTTCATCTCTGACCTCATATGCGAACAAACCCCACAACAGCTAAATAAAGTGGTAATACTACAGGAGCCTGCATGATTCGAAGAATCACAACTTTCTGTGGGCTCTGACACTATATTTACACAAGGTCCTCATCATCTTTCTCAAGCTCATCGAGGTCCCAGGGTTCGCGCCTTTGCTGAAAGCTCGGGCAGATGCCGGCCGAATAATGCAAGTTACAAGCGACAGTCGACAAGAGGTCTGACATGGCTTTGTCTGGTCCGCATCTTGGTCGCTGACATATCGATCGTCATGCACAGTAGAATAAGTTTGGTTAGGCATGGGTCGTTGCGATGGCACACATATTCTTGAGTTCTGGGCATCTATTGACTACATGATTATCTATCCATCTATCTATCTACCTATCCATCTGCCTATGTCTATCTACATCTAACTTCTATCAGTTCGGCCACGTGTTTGCATACATTGCATACTGGTGCATGCTGTGTGTCTATATACACGCAGCAGAGAGAGAGAGAGAGAGAGAGAGAGAGAGAGAGAGCGAGCGAGAGAGCGAGAGATAGATAGAGAGCGAGAGAGGGCAAGAGAGAGCAAGAGAGAGAACGATATGAAGAAAGACAACTCAAACGTAAAACGCATGAATGAAAGAACTAGCCAACGAACCCTATTGGTCTGTTTTGGCCACTCGTTTCCAGTTAAACAGTGTGCAACATTATCGTTTTCCAAGGCTCCGGAAATCATGAATGACTTAATAAGTACTGTAATTGGTCTGGCTCGCTGTTTGTTCTGATGGCGAAACAGCTGAACGTCGAAAAACGACTCTCCATCTTGCTTATGTTAATCTTTTGAAAGCGGCATCTCTACACTAGTCATATGAACCAAACTGATTACCGGCAGTTTCTCTGATGCAAACCTCTTTCGATGAAGCCTTGACTCAGTAACCCTGGAAACCAAAGGAACGCCGTCCCTGCCTTCTCGCCTGGCGTCGGTCGGCCTCCTGCTTAAAAAGGCTGCGGTGCAGCTGTTGAACCATTGCGACCATCATCATGCAGTAGTGCGGAACATCATCGTTGCTCTTTCATTTTCGCTCTGCCGTTGCATAACCATACACGTACCAAGCAATGACAACTTCCTACCCTTACTATTCTGCCTGCTGCTAAGAGCATAATGGAGGCCTACGGTACTTTCGCTGTTTCAATCCCTGGGCTATGGCCAATCAGTGCCAATCAGTTTCCGCCTTCGGGTGTAACAATGACATTGTAAGAAAGCACATAAGCATTATCACTATCAAACTGGATGGGCTTTGGCCGCCATCTGGGATCCAGAGAACGGTGATGGTCGGGCTTTTGGTTCTGATACATCCGCTGATCTACAAAGACGCGGACGCAGAAACAAGAAAGGGCTGTTGTGGCGTGGGCAAAACCCTTTGATCTTCAGAGAGGCGCATTGTTGTGGTACCGACGTTCCTGTTAGAGGCATGTTGCGGTGGCATCTACGTCCCTGTTTTGCAATGACGCCTTATATTATCCATATACTATAACAATCTAAATGAACAAATAAACAAGTAAAAAAAGCATAGATCTCAATCAATTGACAAATAAACACACACGCACATACATATATATATATATAGATAAATAGCTAGCTAGCTAGCTAGATCGATAGATAGAGAGAAATGCGTCCAAGTGCCATCATGAGGAGAAAGGAAGGCACAGCTCTAGGTTCCCCTAAACCCTCCTACTGCACAGCTGCTGTACTACTCTACCAAGCCAACGGCTTGGTAGATTGTGGGAGGTTAGCACGGAGGAAAACGTCGTCAAAATAAAGGGCTTGTAGTCTTTAGTTATCTTGGCGTGAACGAGGCTTGGTTCCGAGGTTTTGGGGGCCCCTAAACCCCCCCAAAACAGCACCAGGCACGATTAACCCTCCCACTGTACTACTGTACTGCTACTGTACTTCTTCTCTACTACCTCTCTGTACTAGTACGGCGCGGCTACTGCATTACCGCTGCATTACTTTACCACTACTGGACACCTTTGTCAAGGGCTTATCTCCCTCTGTAGATCCAGGACGCACCAACCCCACGCCCTTCTAAAGAGCTCATCTCCCTCTACAGCCCCGGAAGGTCTGCAGGTTGGTGTCGCGGAGTGGTCGGGCGGAAGCCTACCCCCACTAACCTCTGCGCAACATTAGCTGGACCCAAACACTCGCTTGACACGCAATCCGAAAACCGAAGTCAATCGAGAGCTTGAACGGGTTCAGGCCTGTGGGCGTGATCGTGGGGGTGATCCGCGATCTGTCTCAGAAAACCTGAGAGTCGAGGGTCTTTGCATGTATGGGGTCCAAGCTGCAAAGGTCTGCGGTGCGCACTGCTTTCTGGCGCTACTAAAAGGTGATGATGATGATGATGATGATTTCGCTGATGACCATGCTGATGATTAAGACACTGTCGCGGATGATGATGACGTTGGCGGCAATGGATGTGAAAAGGATGATGAAACTGGCAGTGGTGATGATGATGCTGGTGACAGCAACGTTTCTGAGGCTGTTGTGGGTGATTGTCTTTGCTGTCATGATAGCTACTTGTACTGATGCCCTTACGCTATTGCCTGAAAAATCATGAGCCTGTTTCGTGTCTGTGATTCTGTTCAGTTCGCTCTCTTCGTTAATTTTTGAGCTTCAGTAACCTGTTCCATGTACCACCATGTCCATTTGTGCGATGCTGCGCAGCACTATCGCTGACCATCTCTTCTGCTTCCACAGTGTTCACGTCGATCTGGTAGTGATGCCGATGACCACACTGCTGATGGTGATGGCGGTGGTGGTGATGTTCACGTAGACTTGTCTTGTTGACAAGACAGAGGGCTAATGACGCCATCTTGTATGTGTCAATAAACGAACACTTAAAAAGATAGAGAAAAACATCAAAGCTGTACACATGTACATGTATGCATGTGTGTGTGTGTGGGGTTGTGCGCGAGTGGTTGTGTGTTGTGTGCCCGTTCTGAATGTATGCCACCTCCGCCTGCTGACCAAGATATGATGCAAAGTGTAGAAGGTACGAGTACAGGATGCGAAGCGTTCGCGCCGGCGACTGTCGTAGTCGCCGTGAAATTGTCACGTCCAAGCCGCTGGTGAGTTCTGGAGCGGAAATCTGGACGTACAAACATATAACTGTCACTTTCTAAACAACGGTCACTGGTTTACAAGCGCAAGCACATAACTTTGATGAATCAGAAGTGCGAATGTTTCGGACTGTAACAAACAAAGTACGATCTTTTTGGTGGGCTTGAGTGAAGCGAAGCTTCGCCTTTGTGAACAATAGATCACAGATGAAGAAGGCACGATCAACAACCACAAACACCAGTCTGAGTCTGAACGGTCAGTGCTACCACTGGTACTGGCCATCGGTTCCGATATGAAACCCTGCTCAGGCACAGCACAGTGGTTGCGAGTTTTTGTTTGTGAATGGGCGCCACATCTCTCGATCGAGATATATGGTCTTGTACTGACCTTCATCACCCATCGCTTGCATGATAAGCCATAGAAGCAGGAACACGCTTTAATCATACACGCGAGCAACAATGCCGGTATGTAATGATTGCACCAACACTGTCAGTGCTCCGGTTCAGAGTTATGATGTGGGAAGCACGTAGTGCCACAGTCGTAGGAAAACACTATAATGGCAGGCCAGAATTTCGAGGTGTGGGGCATTGAGTTCAGATGTTGCAACTCTCATCTGAGGGAGGTCAACACATAAGGCCTGAGCGTACCCTTTGTACCTGGACTAGCTCCAGGAATCCGGCAGCACTTCCCTTGAGATTTTTCATCGGACGCTCACGAAATTCCCTGCTACTGCAGCCGGCGTGCTCGTAGTCTTCGTCACCTGCGGGGCTGTTCCATGCACCCAGGCTGTACGTTCAAAGCTTGAGGTCTTCCATGACAGGATCCTAGTGAGGCTACATCAACGGAAGTCACAGCTGCTTGTTTGATGCTTGTGATGGAGGGGGCCCGCACTCGGGAATAGGAGCATCTAGCGCACCCACCACGCATCCCGAGTCCCTGATTCTCATAGATCAGTAGCCGATCCGGCTCTCGAAAATGTCGACTGTTTACAGACAGGTGACGCTCATGTGCACCCACCGACCCCAGCATTCCGATAACAAATGTTTGCCCATAGATTTGATGTCATCATGTCAGCATAATTAGTTAGAGCTACAGCCTTCACAGCTTGAACTGCTGATATGCTACTGTACTCAAAGATTATCATCATGACGTTGACGGCGGATGCATCACTTATTGTAATGATGAGGATACCTTAAAAACCGAAAACCTAAAGTTTTTGGGCCAAGACACCCACTTCATCGTCGTGTGCCATCGGCAACTCCTCTTCCTCACCCTCCTGGCATGTTCCGACAGATGCTCCAGCTCTCTGTAGAATGAAGGGCTCAAAGAAACCCTATGGCCTACTTCCAAGGCACCGGACCTCCCTGTGGGGTCTCAAACGTATGTCAGAAGAGACGAGACAAGGCACCAAACACCTGAAACCGGTCCTGGGCTCGAGGCTTCAGGTTTGAAATTCACCGGGGTCCAGAGATCCCCTGACCCACAACGCAAACATACTGCGCTGCAGCCCCTCACATACTATCACTGGCCTTGGAAGTCTCACATGATGTAGGTTAGGGCCATGCATGCAGAGCTTTTGGCCTGGGTAAGCCGCAAACCAACAAAGGAATCGCCTCATCGGGGGCGGTGGTTGACTCCGGCTGCGAATCATCTGGCGAAGGGGCGGTGCTTGCAACACTAAATTGGCAACCAGGAAAAAAGCTTACACTCGTGGGACTGTGTTTGCACACGCGTAAAAACTATATATATATATACATACATACATACATACATACATACATACATACATACATACATACATACATACATACAGGTATATGTATGCCCACAAACATATGGAAATTGACACATACATGCAATTTATATAATTACATATACATGTACATATACCTAGAGTTGCACTACTTATGTGTGTATACATATATATATATATATGTGTGTGTGTGTGTATGCGGCCTATACGTAACATGCATGTAGGTATGCGACGATCAGAAGTCGAAAGATACACACACTTTTCCCCTATGTCCTGTGTCTGCAGTGAGAAAGACCTAGTTCAGGCCCAATCAGAGAGGAACCTTGGATCCCCGTTGCTGAGACATGGTGAAACCTCAGATCTGAGAGCCCTGAGCATCTGCCTGGTGGAGCGTCACGTAACGCGCGGTGGAGCGCGCGAAATGTGCGACTCGCTGAGGAGAGGGTGTCGGTGAAGTTGGCTCGCTGCCTCTCTCAGCTAACTTGGCCGAAAGTCCACAAACACAATTCGATCGATGACCAACCATTCGCTCTTCCAGGCTTCTATGAAAAGAGGTGCTGCTGTGCTGTGCTGTCGAAAAACCAAGACATTGTGCTCGCGTGTTCTTGACAAAAAATAACTTTGCTCGTCGCCTTGCCTTGCTGTAGGCCCTTCTTCAGCCATCGCCCGCTGGATGTCCTGAGCGCGACGGCTGCCACTGTTCTGTTGTTACTGTCTTAACACGGCCACCAGTGCTATTTCTAACACCTTGACTATTGACTTGTGCCTGCACGATTGCTACAGTCCCACCCTAGTGGCCCTAGTATTGAGTGCACACATGATACTGTGACCACCACCACCACCACCACCACCACCACCATATTATTACCACTGCTACTGATACTGCTTCTGCTGCCGCTGCTGCCGCCACTGCTACTGCTGCTACTACAAACAGAAATACATACATGCATAAATACATACACCCATGCATTCATGCAGGCCTGCCTGCATGCATGCCTGCATTGATACGCATAAACACACAGACATGCAAACATACAGACATACGGTTAGTCAGTTGGTATCATTATTATTACTACTACTTCTACTACTACTGCTACTGCTAATACTACTGCTACTGCCAATACTACTGCTGCTGCTACTACTATTTCTACTACTACTACTCCTCCTCCGCCTGCTGCCGCTGCTAAACTACTACTACTACTACTACTACTACTACTTCTACTACTGCTGCTGCCACTACTACTCCTACTCCTACTCCTACTCCTACTGCTACTGCTACTGCTACTACCACTACTACTACTACTACTACTACCACCACCACCACCACCACCACCACGGCTACTACTGCTACTACGACCACCACGATGACGACGACTACCACTACTGCTAACGCCGCCGCTCCCACGACTACGGCTACGGCTACCGCGAGCACTGTCACCACCGGCAGCAGCAGCCGCAGCCGCAGCCGCAGCCGCAGACGCAGCCGCAGCCGCAGCAGCAGCAGCAGCAGGAGCAGGAGCAGGAGCACTAGCACGACGACAACTGCAAAACAACAACAACAACAGCAACAACAACAACAGCAACAGCAACAGCAACAGCAACAGCAACAGCAACAGCAACAGCAACAACAACAACTACTACTACCACCACTACCACTACCACTACCACTCTTCTACTACTACTACTACGACGACGACCACCACCACCACCACCACCACCACTGCCACCACCACCACTACCACTACGACTACCACTACCACCTACTCCTACTACTACTCCTACTACTACTCCTACTACTACTCCTACTCCTACTACTACTCCTACTACTACTCCTACTATTACTCCTACTACTACTACTACTACTAGTACTACTACTTACTACTAGTACTACTACTAGTACTACTACTAGTACTACTACAACTACTACTACAA